CGGCTCGAAATAAAATTAATTGAATACATCGCGGAATATAAGAATATTAGGAATAACAATAATCTCAATAAATGGTTTATTAATTTATCTTAATTAAACACTAAATGAACACATTGAACGCCAGCCCCGGGTTATTGCGTAATTCTCTTTTTTACTATATGTAAGCATGTTTTCAACGTTGATAATATATATTCTACTAGTTATTGTTTATTTCTTTTTACATTTGACTAATCTCTAAGAACGAATATTTTCGAAACGAGAAGTCATAAAAGAATCCACAAGAAAAGAATACTCTTTCTGTAAAGAAAAAAAATTTATTTAAATTACATTTTTCATAGGAAAAAAGAAAACAAAGAATAAATAGAAAGAAGAGAAAAGGTGAACAATAGAAAAAAAAGAAAAAAAAGAAAAAGATGAATCCTTTATTCGAGAATACTTTTTCGTAAAGTAACGTGTTCCACGAAATCTGCAATTCTCTCTATGCTCGGTAGAAAACACGGAATGTCTGTTTGCTCTCTAAAGTTTCACGCAGAGATTAGCTCGTATACTTGATCGCACGATAGTACAATACATTCGGTACGATCGATATATCGTTGATCGGATCTTTCGGACGTAGTCGTAAAAGGTTCAGAGCGGCGAACATCGGATTTAATGCAATTTTCCGTTTAATCGGAACTTTTAAAGCCGTTAACGAGAAGTGCTCAGCAGTACCGAATCTTTAAATCGGCCGCACACGAGCGCTCGTTTCGTACAAGACCATGTAAATGAAGAATATAAGTATTATATATATATATATTAAAGTATTATATATATATTTATGTCTATAATTATGACTATAAAATAAGTTATTAAATTGAAAAAAAAAAAAGAAAAGTTCATTGATTTTATGGCCAAATTATTTATCTTATAAAAAATAAATTGTAAAATCAATTTCTTTTATTTACAATTAATCGACTGTTTATTTTATAATATAGAAATGCAACGTAGAAATAGTTAGTACTGAAGTAATCATAAGATAGTGTATAATTATCATTGGTAGTTGTAATAAAGAATTGTGAGCTATAACGATGATAGATTTTAAGATTTTTAATTAAACGATTGTAAAAAAAGAATCAGAACTCTCAAATCCATAAAAAGGAGATCAATAAAAATTTAACCTATCATCATAATTATCGTTACATTTATTTTTATTATTATTATTATTATTATTATTACAAATCAAATGGGAATTCATGAAATCTTTTTCATGAGATTTTTCTTGCCACTTAGAAATATATAAAAATAAATGATTTAATTTTTTTTCCCCTGCTTCATGATTCGTGTAAGTTGAACGGATACGAAGAGGGGGTATAGAAGGTTAAAAACGAAAAAGAATGAAACTAACTACGGGTGGTAAAATGTGGCGCAGCGTGAAACGCAGCGGGAACGCAACGGAAACGCAGCAGGAAAATGTTGGCGCGAACGCATGGCTTTTCTACTTCGTTATCGTGACTTCGATGTTACTATTTTACAAGACCGGGAGCAGAGCAAAATGATTTCAAAGAAATTAACTTAAACTTTGTGATTGCGATAATATTTAAATATAACAACTACCTCAAATAAAATAAATTAATTTTACATGTTGTGTATATGTTCTATTAAATATCGAATAACGCGAATATTGAAATAGCATAAAACAAATCTAATATCGTAAATCAAAGTTGCAGAATTCAAAGAGGATAACATAATTTAAATAAATACATTTTTTTTAAAGATAATTTTCTTTTTTTTTGCAAATATCGATGTCTTGGCGTGTTTTTTGTTTTTTTGTTTGTTTTGGTTTTCTTTGCTTTAAACAGAACAATATATATTTTTCTTATGACACAAAATGATTGCTCCGATAAAATCGCAGATACTTTTATTTGCGGATAATAATAAAATAATATTTTTCATTAATTTAGAATTTTTTCATTGGAAATTTGACCGATTAATTTGAGCGATTGTGTAAAGTTTCATGATATAATCGAGTAACAAGTAATATTTTCATTCACCCCGCAAACCTGTTACGATTAGAAAAATTAAAGAAAAGAAAAAGGAGAAAAGAAAAAAAAGATTAAAGGGAGAGTTAGTTATGGTCGTCGAAAAGAGCAGAGTTTGTTGAATAAGGGCTGTGGCAAAGAGTAGGGAAGAAAAGTTGAAAGCAAGAAGGGATGCATGCCGAGAGAAAATGCTAGCAAAGTCCCAAGTCGTTAAAAGTTGAAGGGATTACCTCGGTCGAGCCTCTGGGGAGGCTAAGGTCACAAAGCTAATGTTTAAGGGTCAATTCGAGTATCCCACACACGTATTAAAGTCATTTGTATTGCTATCGTATTTTATTTCCTACCAACAGTATATTTTTTCTTAAATATTATCACCCCATTTTCTTTTATTCTTTAACTAACAAACAAACAAACAAACAAACAAAAATATACTTCCTAAATTTAACGATTATTTAATTTGAAACAACCTCTTTTTCTTATTATTTTTTTATTATTAAAATCTCATTAATATTAATATTCTATGTTTGATCAACAAGCACGGATATTAAATATTACATATTTTATTATTTTACATTTATATATACAATACAAAAATGTTATCGAAGAACATTCTTATGAAAAATAAAATAAGAAAAAAGAAAAATAAAAGTGTGACACTAGAAGCGAAACATCCGAAAAATGTCTTGCTTGTATCCGTAAGTCGTTTTAAAGGAACACACTTATCTTGGACTATAGAGCTAAACGTGATATATGATGTTGTATATCTATTGTCGGTCTTTCTCCTTTCTTGACCCATTCGCAAGCACGAGCGAGCTTTTCCGTAAGAACGTGTTGCGTACGTTGTATAAGCGAGTAACACCTCACGTGGGAGTAATTTAACTTCCCTGCTATTCGCACACCCGGTTCTTGTCGCGCGTCACACCCGTAGAGAATTGAATTCGTTTTAATTCTACGTTTTTTCTCTTACTTCTCTCTCTCTCTTTCTCTCTATTTCTCTCTCTTTTTCTTTCTTTTTCTCTCTTTCTCTGTCTCTTTTTCTATTCCGGTCTATGATGAACCTCGATCGCAAAATACACCTACTAATTTCACTCTCGTAAATCTGTAAATTATTATTATTATTTTTATAACTCAATTATAGTCCTTTTAATTTTTAATCAATAAATCGCTCCTAGAGAGAGAGAGAGAAATAGCAATAAAAAAAGCTATTATAATTGGACAAAGTCCTAATAAAATGAGGAAGAAGAAGAAGAAGAAGAAGAATTTTGAATCCTTTTATTATGATATATATGTAGGAATGAGAAATAATCGAGTGCCGTGGGGGGAACAATGGAAGAATAAAGTATCGTGTGTCAGTTTACGCTGGCTTATCACACCGAGGCTTCTGGGACATTCCCGAACCGGAAGGAAGAAGAAAAGACTTGAAGATCGAACAATCGGGAATGTTCAGGAAGCTGCTGAAAAGGAAGTAGGCACATGGAGGGGAAATCAGTCGTTGGTTAATCAGTTGTTAGAGAGTGAGTGAATACAAAAGAGCTTGGGGACACGTGTGTCGGTATAACGGATGTCGATTGAGTGTATCACATTAGATAATAGCGATTGTGAATCATACTTGTAAGGCTATTCCCATTTATCCAATATTATATATTTTTTAAGTAGAGTTGACCCTGGTGTATGTTAATCTACATCTCTACACTAAACCCAATCCTACATATATATATTTTACCGTCAAATATATGTTATGTATGTTTCCGTCGATTATATTTGAAAAAAGAATTTTGTATAAATAGATATTACACACAAATCTAATTTGATTGATAGATGATAATTATAATATCTCGATTTCATTTTTCTTCATAGAATCGACATATTTTGTTCGATATTCGAATAATGATAAAGATTGAAAAAAGAAAAATAAAGATAAAGATCATTAGAGGTAGAATATCAGGAACGACGTGGATCCTTATCGTTATCCTTTGATAACGAGCAAAGTATCGGTTAAACTGTCTCTTGTCGTATGAGTGAATGCACCGTAAACGTAACTTCTCTCTCTCTCTCTCTCTTCCTCTCTCTCTTTCTCTTCTTCTCTCTTTCTCATACTTTACCTCATTCGTCTCGTTGTCTCTTCTGCAAAACTTTCTCCTACCACAGAAATTCCTCTTCCTTAAATGTATGCATGACTCTCGACCGATTCGCCCCTGTTAACATATAAATTGCCGCTTAACGGCGAGACAATCAGTTTCGCGGGAAGGTAGCTCGAGGTGATGACGGGAAGGGTGCAAAAGGAACGAAGTGGAACGAAGTAAGAGAGAGAGAGAGAGAGAAAGAGAAAGAGAAAGAGATTCCTAAGAAGAAGAAGAAGAAGAAGAAGAGAAAGAGAAAAGGGAGGGAAACAGAAGAGGGGTGAAATTCAATTCAATTTTCTAAGAAACTCTTTAGTGTTCGAAATACAGCCCGCCGAAAGGATGCGCGCGAAGTTAGATGTGCGCCGAAGACGGATAGTAAGGGTAAGGATAAGAGAGAGAGAGAGAAAGATAAGAGAATGGAATCTAAGGAAAGAAGAAGAAGAAGAAGAAGAGGGAAGATGGACCAGAATGACGAAGGGATAACCGAAAGACGAGACAGACAGATAGAGAGGTGAAGAGAGGGGTTTGGGTGATCAGGGGGGGATAGAAAAAGTGTAATAAGGATAGACTCGTGATAGAAAAGGACGAAGAAAAGAAGACGGTGAACAGAGTGTAACGGAGATGGGCTTACGAGAAATAGAGATAGAGAGAGAGAGAGAACAAGAGAAACCAAGCAATGCGAGCGGGGACGATATTCAGGAGGAGGAAGAGAGAAAAGGGGTGGATGAATGAGCGTAAGCTGGACAGAGACAATGGGTTACAGAGAGGGTTGAAATGAAAGAGAGAAAGAGAGAGAAATAGTGAGATCGGGATGACTAACTGACTGGGAGGCTGGTAGGGCAAAGGGGAGTAAGGATTCTGTGCGCGGGCGCAAAACTGGCGCAAACTCTTCGTGCAGCATCTCTCGTCAGTTGCAAGTCAGGAACTATCGCGTTCGCGTTGCACACCCCCTTCTTGTTCTTGTCCGTGATCGTCATCGTGCTTAACCGTGATCCTATTCTTTTTTTTTTCATTTTATAAATCTTTCCAGTGTTGTTTATTTGTGTTTATGCCGCATCGTCGATCTTATCGATCGAAATTCCCAGTTTTAAAACTAAGTGATTATTTAACGATTTAATCATAAGTTATTGTTGTTATTGTTGTTGTTATCGTAGTAGAACTATCGAACATCGAAATAAGTGGAAGCTGAGAAGAGATCGGTGAAAGGAGTTAATTAAAAATATATATATAAAAAAGAAAAAAAAAAAATAAGTAAATGATTAAATATAAATAATTAAGATCGATCAAATAGTATCATCATTGATAATAGTCGAGTTCGTCGTCATCTCAATGATTTTCGGTGGCGCGAAGGCGCCGATTGTTGCGACACGGTGAACGGGGTGACTCGGTGAACGCTGAAGAAAAATACAAGTAAGAAGAATAAGATTGGGAAAAACTGATCGAGAGTAAACATTGAAGATTTACTTCTCGGCAGGATGGATAAAGGCTCGACTAGTAGGAAATGCGGGAAAGTGCGACGTACTCTGTTTCATCTGCTGCTTATAATGGGGGGTAAGTTCTGTATTATGAAACGCGATATCAAGCATCATTCCAAGACCTTGAGAAGAGATTTTCGAGATATCGTGATCGATCAATCTCAATCGATACCCAATATCAATACGATGGATACCAATATGGATGGTTGTTGTGCGTGCGTGTTGGGACGAAATGTTTGTCGCTAGAATTCGAACTAGAATTCGGGATATGCTGTGCCACGTCGACGGATTGATTTTGTTAATATGGAGGCTATTGGAGAACGGATTTTTTGCTAGGAAATAAAAAATGCAAGAGAAAAATGTATAAAAATAAAAATAAAAAGAAGAAGAGGAAAGAAACGAGAAAGACAAATAGCGATTGGCAAGTTCGGTATGCCGGGGATTGATCTTGGGGAGGAAAGAAAAAAAATTCTTTCTTCTTATTCATTTGATCACGCGTTTACGGTTATATCCCGAATTATATGTTCATGTCAGTGATAGCGGTGAACGTTTCGTCTCTGCAGTTTTTTTTAATCGATGCTGCAATTATTACTTCCATAACTTTCTCGCTTTTTTTTTTTTTTAATGTGTAACCTATATATTCGAGGATCTTTCTGATATGTTGTAATCAAACGAAAGCCAAAAAGGTATTCGGTTAATTTGATTTGCAACTCAATGGTTTCTATATAACCATGTTACAAAGCGTTCTTTGGTAAAACAAAGGATTCTACAAGACTACTATCAAGGATGAGGAGAAGTGTTCTTTGATTTTCCAGAATATTTCCTCTCATTTTTATGTCCTTAACGGTTGAATGCGCACATTTGAAAATAAACTCTGTTTCTAATAATAAAAGCAACGTCAAGTTTCGGTATGGATCTAAATTCTCTAACGAGCGATTCTATTCCTCGATCTCTTGTAGACGTCTTAACAGAATTCCACTTCCATTCCATATTTCATGCGATACGGCTTATTGAGTCCCATCTTTTGGATTCGGCCTGTATCCAATAGCCTCTTTCTATCCTCGAAATTTTTCCGAAGCAGATCCTTTGCTTTTTCCTATCCGTGGCTCTTCCGCAAGACTGAGCCTCACAACTTCTAAAAATGAGTGGATAGGATTTGAGGATTTCTAGATGCGAGATACGTGAAAATCGTCGCGAATGGGGGGAAGAATGTATACGTATGTAAGCATATACGTATATATATATATATATATATATATATATATATATATGTATGTATGTATATACAAGCTACTATCCTTTCTTTTCCTTATTTCCTCTTTTCATATTTCTATCTTTTTCGCACTTTTAGAAATCTGTGTAACGTGTTCCTTCGAATCTAACCGGAATTTTTTGTATTTTCATGACAAGGAGAAGACATTGACATCTTTCTCTTTTTCTATCTTTACTTTTTTCACTTTTCCTTTCCAACTGAAAAAGGCCAATCACAAGTTGACCTTAATCGAATACACTCCCCATCCTTTCGTTACTTTGTTGATTTTAACTGGTAATTGTATTTCCCCACTTCTTGTCTCGTTTCGGCGCCGCGTCTATATTATTTCATTTCTCCTGACCGTGCTTGTTTCTCTCTTTCTCTTCTCTCTCACTTTCTCTCTCTCTCTCTCCTTTCCTGTCGTTTTCGCTGAGAATAACAGTGAGCAACCTCCGACTAAACTTGGCGCGCACCCCGCTTCGCAATTACATCTAATTGCTTTATCAAATTAACCGAGCCACGGTTCTCTTCCGCCTTACAATAACACCAGCGATAATTTCTTCGCGCTCAAGTGTGAGAGCGAGAGATAGATAGATAGATAGATAGATAGATAAATAGATAGAGAGAGAGAGAGAGAGAGAGAGAGAGAGAGAGAGAAAGAAAGAAAGAAAAGGGAAGAAGAAAATCGCGAGTACCAATCGGATTTGATGCGCAAGACTTTCCATTTAAAGAATATATATCTGACATCGAGAAAAGATCCCTTACGGATCTTTTCTCGAAACTACTTTACCTTCGATTTTAGAACGGTATAAAGGAAGAGTAAATACTAGCAGTGGCTCTTCTTTTCTTTCCCAATGTATGAGAGAATAAAGAAGATCGAAAGTTGGGTCGAGTACGGTTCGTCGGACATCAGACGGACGGCCTTCGTCCGGCAATCCTTTGAATTAAAATTCTGCTAGAAAGAGAAAGAGAGAAAGAGAGAGAGAGAGGACTATGAAGACGACAATCTATTATTGTCCCAGTGGTAGTAGTAGAAAGAGAAAGAGGAGAATACCAGCACACTCGGAATCAAACTCGGAAAGGGATACGAACTCGGATGATTTCCTCGAGGCACCCGACGGAGACCATTCAGAACACTTTCTCTCTCTCTCTCTCTTTCTTTTCCATCCTTCTTGCCATGACAGTCACAAGTCTTGATGTTCTTCATGATCCTAGACGCGGCAAGGATACTCTCTCGTATATATATACATATCTACGTTAATGAAGGGGGTACTTCGGATGGCAACTTTACAGACCTCATCGACTACTTCTGGCATTGCGATTGTTCCGCAAGCCTTATAGATACCTTCTCATCTTCTCTTCTCTTTGTTTCCCGACTCCTTTCGATTTTCGTCGTCTTTGTATTTTCCCCTCTTTCTCTTCGTTGGTACTTCCGTCGAGTCTCAAGAGAAAAGGAACTACATTTCTTCCTTTTTATCATCGTATTCCATCTCTCCCTTTTCTTTCTGTCTTTCTTTCTTTCTTTCTCTCTCTTTCTCTCTCTCTCTCTCTTAACCGTGTTCTACGTTTCCTTCTCATCACAGAGAAGAATCACGAGTTATATTCTGTTTTCTCCTTGATTATCTCTCTCTCTCTCTCTCTCTCTCTCTCTTTCACTCATTCTCTCTCCCACTTTGTTTCTTTTTCTTTTACGACTGTATGAAGGTTTCGCCAAGTTTCGAAAAAAAAAAGATTAAAAAAAAAAGTCGAAAAAGTAAACCATCCAAAATCCACGTTCCTAGCTTGGGACGATTCTTTCATCTTCCAGCTCGTTCTGTATCCTTCGACGTACGTGCCCCGAATCGATTCACTTTTTTTTTCTCCTCGGTCCTTCCTTCCTTCCTTCCTTCCTTCCTTTCTTTCTTTTCGTCCTTCCTTTTCTAACGTCGTCGTCTTCGTCTATCGACCTCTTGCTTCTCTCATCGAGCTAAAGTTCCATCACGGCGAGGATTTGTCGACACTTTCTTTTAGTACGTGCGAGTCGAGCAAAGTATAATTCGGAAAAAGAGTTGAGCTCGAGATCACGTGAGAGAGAGAGAGAGAGAGAGAGAGATGATGTTGTTGTATACGGGAAGTAAATCGTGTAACGTGACCAACTCGAAATAGCTTTTACTAATAATTTCCATTTTTTAGATTCTTTTCCTATTTCTTGCTCGAACGTAAGAAAAAAAAAAAAAAAGAAGAAGGAAAAAAGAGCATTTATAATCCTTACATTAAATTTTATACATTTCGTACTAACGTCGATATCCTTTTTTTCTTCTGCATTTTTTTTTCCTTCTTCCTTTCTTTATTTCTTTCTTTCTTTCTTTCTTTCGAAAAATTTTAAACAAGTAAAAGTTGATTATATAATATCGTAGATAGTTGCACCTCGTATATACGTGTTCGTTCCTTTTCTTTCATTTCCTTTAGCAAGCGGATTTCATTCTTCTTTAGTATTCAAGAGAAGAGCTTCTTTGCATTCCCTTTCTCTCTCTCTCTCTTTCTCTCTATTTCTTTCTCTCTTTCTGTGTTTTCTACAAAACTCTTACTACAAGTTTAATGTAGGTATATACATATATATATATCTATCTATCTATCTATCTATCCTTTTATTTCTCTTGTTATAATATTTCCCATTTTTTCTCTCATTCTTGACACGCAACAAGCGTACAAGTATTCTGAATTTCGTAACTAAAAAAAAAAAAAAGAAAAGACGTGGATATTCAACATGGTCCACGAATAACAACATTGTTCCTTGAACGGTGCGTTTTTCAATCATAATACCTATTCATACTCCTCATTTTTCTTTTTCCCTCTCTTTCTCTCTTTTCTCTTCTCTTTTTTTTTTTATTGTTTTCCCCCTTATTCGTTCGTTCTCGTTCGTTCGTTCATTCTTATTTCTTTTATTACGAAAGTCGATCGGTTTCGTTATCGACTTTTCAAACTTTTTCCTCTAGCATCCTTGTCGCTGCCGACTGGATACGCGAAACGCGTTGGATTGATCCGATTAAATCGATCGTTCGAACCAGATGGACGCTTTTTGAATTTTTCTTTCTCTTTCTCTTTCTCTTTTCCTCTCATATGTTCTTGTTTATCTACCGTATTATTTCGATAACAATTGTTCGTCGTACACGTTCGCGAGCGCTTCGAATTCGTCATGCTTAAATGTTTTCTATTCTTTCGATTGTAGTCATCTCGATTAGATAGAAAGAGAGATTTATCTTTACAATGCATTCGTAAAAGGTGTAGAAAACAACAACGACGAACTATGGAACACGACATTGATATAACATACTTTAATAGATTTTTTTTTTGTTTTTTTTTTTTTTTATTAAATTGATCTACATATATATGTTCGAATAAATAGATAAAAAAGGGAGAAAGGAATAAGAACAATTTTATTTTTTTCTCGATATATTCTCGCTCGACTCTAATACATTTTATTTTTTAAATCTTTCAATTAATTTACTTATATTCGTAAAAACAAATGTTTTTTTTATATTTTAAAATAGGCTAACAAGATCGTGGGATTTAATCTTTTACTTATCATTCCTTCCTAGAAATTCTTTCTATCGTATTTAAGAACAAATATTTATTCGGAGCAAAAAAAAAAAATGGTTTGGACTGTAGCAAGTTTGATTGAACGCTTAGAAGCAACTGTGTTATAAAAGCAGTCATTTTATCATTACTTTTTTGCGGAACGGATGCGTTCTTGTAGAAGCTAGACCTTCGTTTTAGTCCATTTTCCTCTCCTATTTTTCTTCACAGTTTCTTTCAACGGTTTGAAAAGATCAGTGTAGTACTCT